CATATTCATATTTGTTGACACCAGGCACCTGATTCTCTCTCTGCTCCCTCACCGAAACCCTGCCAGAGCCCCAGAAACACAGACAGCCATCCCAGCCCACTGCAGCTACATGAGTACAATGTACCAGCCTAGATCCCAGTGCCTGATCCTCACCACTGTGTGTGTGATCATTGCTAGTCCCACCAGCTGCGTATCTGCACACCATCAGCCTGATGTCTATCATCAGCCTTCACGGCCATGTGCATGCCTGGGATCGCATGCCTGGGATGAGTGAATACTGTGCACAGCTATGGAAAAAACATACCAACAGCCAGAGCCCTGAAAGGTGCTTGTGAGCTCAGATTAGATCCTTTCTTCTGTAACTGGCCCCTTCAGCTACCAACCTGCATACCTCTGTCCAAACCTCCATCACTAGCCTCCACTGTCATGTGCGCATGACAAGACTCAGTGGCCACAATAGTGCAGACCACCAGCCAGGGCTCCCATTGCTTCAGTATACCTGTAGTTGGCCTGACCCTTGCTCCAGTGTGGCTCCCATGACCACATGCGTGTTTGCCACCAACCCCTGCCACGAAAAGGCCTGATGCTTCAATGCACTTGTTTGGAGAACTTCACATAGCACAAAGTAGCAAAGAAGATAAACAAATGGTTGCCATAGTGGGCTGGTCTCTGCTGTGGGCAGTTCAGCTGGCCACCGATGCCCAACTCGAGGCTGAAACTCAGAGAGTTGGATTGAAAACTGAGGTTTGATGAGGACATGCAGCTGTCAACTACTCCCTTTGTTTCTTTGGTGCTGACAGACAGGACTGCCATTATTAGTTAGAGATCCCACTGGACAATGTGCAAAGCTAAAAAGGCAAAAGGTGCTAGAGATTAAGGTCTGAGCCCTGTGACAAAGCCTGATGGAGACACTAAGAGGGGGAATCCCTGGAAAAGTACAAAGAACAAAGGGGAAGATGTTATAGTGATGGGCAACAAAATTGATAGAGTGCCCCCTACTGTCAGGCCCCTAATACAAAAGAAAATTTTAAATAGTGAACACCCTAGACTTCTGATAATAGAGAAATATATCCCAAAACACCTAGGAGAAAACTTGAATTCTCTCTGTCTCTGAAACTTGTAAATCTTATCATGCCTTTGACAGGTAAACACCCCAAGAGCTAACCAAAATATTGTCCAAAGAGACTGAAGGAAAAAAGAGGCCTTTTAAAAATACAGACTGCTATAGCCAAAATTGATTTGTAAAAGAGATGAAGTTTTTGGTTTTTTTTGTTTTTTTTACAAAAAAACTAGAAAACAATAAGGATGAAAGAAAATGAGTGTATATGGAGGGCAGGATGTATGTTTTCTGTAATGGAAGGTATGAAAAAAGGAGATGTATTTTTGTTATGGTAAAGGATAAAAGAATGTGGGTTTTTTTGGGGGGGAGGAATGATATAAAGGACATAGTTTTTTGTTTGTATTTTGGATTTTTTTGGTTAAGAACCAAAAAAGTAATTTCATCCTAAATTAAAATGATTGTTTTCGAATACAAAAGGAAAAGACAGGGCAAAGCTGAAAGTTGCAGAGGGTTTGTGGAAGAGGAAGCCTGAGTGAAGAATTTCACATGTGGTCGCGCTGAGAGTGGAATGGGTAACTAAGTCAGTTGGCTCATCTTGTGTGTATACGAGAACTCTCACTAGCTCCTTAACCACAGTTGTTTGTTTGTAAGTCTTTTGTCATTTTTAGACAGTTATTTTATTCTGATGCTTTCACAAAACAGTTCCTGCCAAGGTGCTTCATCTTCAAGATGGTTCATGGGAAGGCTGACAAGTACAGGTTTCTGATAACTAAGATCAGTTTCCCTTCACATGCAAGGGACAATAATGAACTTTTCAAGTGCTTCCCCAAGGCTACCTGCATAGCCCCATAGCATCTCATGAGAATGGCAGCCCAAGACCTGTCCTGTTGTCCTTCCCCACATCAGTTAAATGGGCCCATTACATTGATGACATAATGTGCACATGTGAAGACTTGCCTCTGCTGCAGGACACTTTGCAGACTTTGCTGGAACACCTGCCAGGGAAAAGATGAAGGATAAGCCCACAGAAAATTCAAGGCCCAGGGATAACAATACTGGTGAGGATGTGGAGAAAAGGAAACCCTGGTGCACTGCTGGTGGAAATGTAAACTGGAACAGCCATTACAGAAAACAGTATGGAAGCTTAAATAGGACTATCATATCATCTAGAAATCCCACTTCTGAGTATATATCTGAAGAAGATGAAATCACTACATTGAAGAGATACCTACACACCCATGTTCACTGCAGCATTATTTGCAACAGCCAAATCATGGAAACAACCTAAGTGTCTATTAACTGATAAATGGGTAAAGAAAATATAATATATTTATATATATTATTCTGAATAATAATGATATATATGTATAAAATATTATTCAGCTATGAAAAAGAAGGAAACCCTACCATTTGGAACAACATGAATGGCTCCTACATCCTTATTCTAAATGAAATAAATCAGAAAAAGATTGGTCCTGTATGATCTCACTTATATGTGGAATCTAAAAACATCAAACTCAAAAAAACGGAGTAGAATGGTAGTTACTAGAGGCTGAGGGGTTGGGGGAAATGTAGAAATGTTGGTGAGGAGGTCCAAACTTTCAGTTACAAGATGAATAAGTTGAACTTGATGCCCGGCATGGTGATGGCAGTTAACAATACTGTATTGTGTACTGGAACACTGCTATGAGAGTAGAGCTTTAATGTTCTCACCATAAGAACTATAACCAAATGGTTATTGTATGAGGTACGAGATGTGTTAACTAACCTTCCTGTGGCAAACATTTTGCAATACATCCATGTATAAAGTCATCACTTTATACATCATAAACTCATATGGTGTAATGGGTTAACAAAGCTGGGGGTGCAGAGGGCTTGGGGTAAAAGCTCACTCAGGAAGTGGACCTCAAAATGTAAGAGCACTTGAAGTCAGCTTTACGTGATGTCCATGAAGCGTCCACGTGAATCCTTCTGGATTTATGCGGTGTTAACATCCCAAAAATGTTTGACAAGTACAGACTAGAACTCCTCCAGCTCAACTTTCTTAATTTACAGCTGAAGAAGTTGAAGCCCAGGGCATAGATATGTAGTGTCAAATGTGACTTCCCATTCTGGGTTCTGGGTTTTCTCTATGACTTCCCCTCCATTTCCCTGGAAAACTTTTTTGGTTCAACACATCATCAGCACCCATTATATTTCAGGCCTAGTGGTAGGGGGTGGCAATTCAGACATGTGTGTAAAGCTTATGATGCAATTGGGGAGACAGAGAGCTCCAAAACAAATTATATTCTACTAATAAAAATTATTAAACAATTTAAATCACCTAGTAAATGCATAAATAAAAGTGCTAATTGAAAAACAACACAGGTATGCTAAGTGAAATAAGCCAGGTGGTGAAAGGCAAATACCATATGATCTCACTTATATGTGAAATCAAACGAAAAAATAAACTGACTAACAAAATAGAAATAGAGGCATGGATACATAGAACAGACTGATAGCTGTCAGAGTGGAGGGGGGAATGGATGAAAGAAGTTGAAGGGATTAGCCAAAGAATAACCCATTGACGTGTACAACAGTGTGGTGATGGCCTGAGGGAAGGGTGGGGGTGAGGGCTGGGTGGAAGTGGGCAAAGGGAGAAAAATGGGGACATCTGTAATAATGTAAACAATAAAATAAAATTACAAAATAGAGCTCTTACTTGGTTGGAGAGTCATCCTGTACACCAAAAGGGTGGTGGTTTGATTCCTGGTCAGGACACACACCAAGGTTTCGGGTTAATTTTCTAGTCCATGAGCATTTGGGAGGCAGCCATTGGATGTTCTCTCACACACCAGTGTCTGTCTGTCTGTCTCTCTCCCTTCCTCTCTCTAAAATCAATGAACATTATTTTTTTATTTAAAAAAATACCATACATAGGAACTTGAGAAATGCAATTACCTAGTAATGCTAAGACCTTGTGTTACAAACACCTGTGCATTTATTCGCTCTCCCTACCCTCAGGGTCAAGACCAAGTTTTTGTATTTATGGCTGTATCCCTGCATCTTGGCCCAGACCTGCCCAGCAGTCGAAGCTCAGTAGATTCTGAAACAATGAAGTTCCCTTCTAAGAGGTTCCCACCCCAGAGGAGCACCTTTCCTGAAGAGGAGAATAAAAGAGAGTGAGAATGTAAGAGGTTAGAATTCAGGTGGACTGGACAGGTAAAGGATCTTAAAGGATATTTGCCAAAAGTAAGTAAAAGTAAGTAAGTAAATAAATAAAAGTAAACGCATGCCTACTACCCTACTGACCGATGGAAACCGAGGCTCCCCCTGGAGGCGGCATACAGGAGGCTCACAGGGTGGCCCAGTAGCTCAGCCGGGCTGTCCACCATCCTCTGTTCAGGTGTGGGTGCCTGAGACAACCTTGGGCCACAGGTGACGTCGCACTTGGTGAGGGCATCAGTCAAACTTGCCCTATGGGGTGTGCGTCCTGGGAAGAGAGGTTTGGGGTAGAGGCTGGCGACATGCCCTGGTTCTGATGGCTAAGTCTAAACATCCAACCAAGCCAGGGGAAGGAGACTCAAAGTTAACAACTCTCTGGCACCTTCCCAGACCCCTCCAAAATATTCAAGGGATGCATACTATTATAGGGTCAGATGTCTCCTATGCACCCACTCCAATTTTTCCTAATGCTTAATTTATTCACTCTGCAGACAAAGACAAGGTGGCAGGTTGCCTTGTCTGCCAGGCAGTTACTACTAAAGCCCCCCATTCGGCTTGTGTCCCGGCTCCATCCCTCCCGCCCTCCCTGCTCTCCTCTGGCCCACCTCCTTCCTCCTTTGCCTCTCCCCACCCCTGCGTCTGCCCAGCGTCACCGCCCCCTTTCCCCTCCCATCTCCCCTCCTGGAGCAGCTGGGCTCTAGCCTCCTCTGCAGTCTTCACTGCTAGCTCCCGGTGGTGCTGGCCAGTGGTGGCGGGACAGCCTGGGCTCTGGCATCTGCTGGGCTCCTGGCAGCAGCGTCCCCGCCCTCTGTCCCTCCCAGGCCAGTGTTAGTGACAGCCTCGGTGGTTCTTTGATTTGAACTGGACAGCGCCGTAGGGACTGAATAAGCTTCACAGGTAAGGATGGTGCACCCGCTTCCCACCAGTCCCCGCTTCCCCACCCCCCGCAGTGAGACCCTAGAACTTGGATATTTTTCTGAGAAATGTAGAACCTGTCCAAGGAGAGCTTCTTTGAAAGGCTCTAACGATGGGATCAAACTTAGCACTTTAAGTCCTCAAAGAAATGAGCTTTTCTTTCAATGTGCAGTTCTGTGTGCTGGTCTCTGCAGTTTAATATTAACAGTAACGATGTTTGCACTGGAATATAAGTGGAATTCTTTCTACTTAAGCAGTACCAGAGGGGACTCTCTTTATTTTTATGATTATTAGCAGATGCCATTGAAGGAGGTGTAAAACGCATTCTCAGAAAATCTACTCTTGTTGAAAACCTTTGGCAGGGTTACTATGAAAGCTAGAATCAGCAGCCTCTCCTCTCTCCCCTCTTTCTTTTCTCTATTTCTCTCTCATCAACTTAGCCGCACAGGTCAGCAAAAGGAGTGGTGGAAAACTATTTGTTTTAAAATGAGGTGTAAAGAAATTAAAAAGTCTTGGACTTGCTTTAAAACACTCTAGGAAAAAAAAGGAAGGGAGATGAAACAAGATTGGTGACAGATAATTTTTGAAGCTGGCTGATGGGCACATGGGGATATACTTTTTTTGTTGTCTTTAAAATGCTCTTTACTCGTGTGTAGTTTGAACATGTTCTATAATAAAACAGTTTTGAAGGTTGTAGAAACCTTCTTGCTTGATTCCTTTGACCATTTTACACTGTCATTGCTGTGAAATGAAGCTGTGTATCCTATCTGTAACCCCCCTCCCTTACTAACCCTGCTCACTTCTGAAATTCTCATTTTATCCCAAGTACATTTGTCTCTAGGGAGGATTATAAAAGTCATTTTTGCTGCTTGAAGAATTATACTTAGAATCTGGTTTATAATTTGTAGAAAGAATGTTAAAATCCCAGCCAAGTAAGACATCTAGGCTTGAAAGTAGTAGCCAAGCATCGTTTGGAATTTTATTTTTTAAGGAAATATTAGAGGAGCTCCTTTAGTATGAGAAGAGATTATACTCTCCAAACTTTTCTTCCAGAAAAGTGTGTGTGTGTGTGTGTGTGTGTGTGTACACACCCCAGCTCAGAAACCTGTAGGCTTTTAAGAATCTTTTCCATGTTTTTAAATGTGAAACTGTTTAGCCTATGTGCTTGGCACATAGTATGTGCTCATTATGTTAAAATAAACAATTGCTAATGTGAGTTAATTTTCCCTGTTGAGTAAATAATTTATCTTTCTCTGCCCGACACTCAAGGCAAGTATATTACATTTTAACAGCAGGACCAGACCCAGAATTTGGAGGCTGAAGCTACCTCACCTCGCACGGGATTAACTTTGCAGATGAGAAATCTGAGATGAGAGCTGAGGAAACAGCAAAGAGAAATTAGTGGTACCAAAGTTATTTATAACTTTCCTTAATTAAATTTTTTTCAGAAGTTTCAAATGTATTAAACTGATATATGATTAGCAAAAAATATTGTGATCATAAGCTGCTTTAAAGCCTGAAAAATAGCAAAATTAATGCTTTTAGAGACATTCTTCACTTTTGAAGGCCAACTTGCAAGTTATAAAAATAAGTCGGGAACCGTAAGCTGTGTGCTTCCTATGCCCGTGCATGAGAGAGCCAGCAGAGGGTTCCCTTGGGGCTTCCTTACCGCCATTCACCCCAAATTTGATTTACACACAACATATCCATTGCATAAATTGAAATGTACATGTCCTGAAAAAATAACTACAAAAGAAAAGAGGATATTTTTTTTATTGTGATGAGAAACAGAAGATGTGGGTTACTGTAAAATAATCAACTGTGTTACTTTACCATCTTTCTTTCCCTCAAGTACTGCCAAACTCTTAAAGCAGACATTACTTTGTCTCGATTCCTGAAATTAAAGTTGAAAATAGTGCTATGGTATGATATTTTGAAGAGAAATTGGCACAATGTCAATGAAAATTCTTGCCATTTACTTGCAGCATAGGATCAGCAGAAAGTATATCCTTTAGGAATGGATTACAATAAAGGATTTGATAAACATATGTGAAATATTTGGCAGGTTGAAGACTTTCCTACGTGTTGAAATGAATCGGAGCACATTTGGGGGACTCTTTAGCCGTGCTGTAGGTCAGAGTGGAAGTGTGCTGGCACTACAATGGTTTTTGGAAAACCACCTGCCAGAAAATTGTCTGGCTGTAGACAACATTATCAGCTCTCAGTTCATCAGGATGGGCTCTGTGGCGTGTAGATGGGTTTTCTAAACGTGATAAATTCCACATGTGACAACCATTTTGTATATTAGCCAGTTAGACTTCTCCCCCTGCTGAATCCCACATGCTTTTAAAATAAATTCTATATCATAGCTCAAAGAATGTAAACGATTTAAATGCAGGATCTAAGATTTGCTATCACTGGGCCAACTTTGCCATCTAGTGGTAGCAATGTGGATAACAGGCAAGTTCCTACCCGGGATGACTGGGAATTGACGCTTCTTCAGGATCACTGATGAGTCATAAATTACTTGTGTTTTCTCATTTGTGGTTTAATCTAGGTCTTTGGAGCTGAAAAAGATCTTAGAAATTTTCTAGCCTAATTCAATACCTAAGAACTATTAGAGAGATTCTTAAATAAGGAAAGAGATTTCAAATTGATGCATAGTCTTCAGTATCTATTTGTTGAAAAACGAATTTATCTTCCCTTTTCAATTCTCATCTCTCTCGCAGTACTGCTCCATGCTGCCATAAAGTTTTATTACAATCTTCTATTTTTGTTTTAAAATTGCATGTCTGGACACTTTTCCTTAAAATGAAAATTTTCATTTATCCTTAAGACTCTGAACCAAACATTCTTTCCCACTCACTCCCTACTACTTCTTTATTTCTAAACATCAAGGTCTGACAAAAGAACAACAACAACAACAAAAACAAACAAAAAAGATTCTAACCTGATAAGTGTATTGATTTCCTATTGCTGTTAACAATTACTGAAAACTTAGTGACTGAAACAACACGTTATCTTACAGTTCTGAAGGCCAGAAGTCTAAAGTGGGTGGGCAGGGTGGTGTTCTGGAAGTTGAAGGTGAGAATCTGTTTCCTTGCCCTTTTCAGGTTCTAGAGGCTGCTCTGCATTCCTTGGCTTGCGACCCTGCATCCTTGGGACCTCTGCCTCCATCTTCACAGCCCCTTCTCACTCTAGACCCTTCCACCTTCTGTGATCACATTGGGCTCCCCTGGGTAATCCAAGCTAATCTCATCTCAGAATTCTTAATCACATTTGCAAATCTCTTTTACTAGGTGAGGAATTTATTCCCAGGTTCTGGGAATTAGAACGTGCCTTTCTTTAGCAGCTTTTGTTTGGCTTAAACAATGCGGGACAAAGCAGTCAGAGATGCATGAAATCCCTTATAAATATATCTACCTATGTTTGGACTCCCATTGTTTGCTATCAGTAATAATAACTGCTGCCATTTGTTGAATGTTTATTGTGCTCGGGGTATTGTGCTTATATACATCATATTAGTTCCTCACAAAAACTCACTGTAAAGTTTTACCCTTACCTTCTGAAAATAATGTTTGCAGAGATTAAGTAAACTTCATAAAGTCGTGTAGCAAAAAAGTAGCATGGGCATTGACTTGACTTCAGTGCCCACGGCCTCCATAAATGGTTGAAACACACCGGTTCTTACTCTTCATATTCATAATGTCACCAGAACTGTTATTTTCTCATGGCTGTAATTTCATACACTTTTTAACTTAAATGCTGCCAGTAGTCTATGTTCTAGTCAGTAAAGAACATTAGTGAGGGCCTGAAGTGGGTCAGGAATTGAACTTTATAAAATACCTGTTTTTCTCTACAGCTGCCCCCAATTTGTGAAATGACTTTAGAAGTTGTTACAGGTGTTCTGCAAATCCTGACCCATTTAATGCTTGCTTTACCCTTGTTTAGTCTTCCTGGTAATGACTCCCCCGCTCCTGCTGCAGCCTTTGCCTAAGGCAGCCCTTCCCTCTGCAAGTATTTGATATATCTGGGTCAGGCCACAAGGTCTACCTGTTGCATGCCAATCTTTACAGAGCAGGTAGAGGGTGCAAGTGGAGGTTGGAGGTGGCTGGTACATGTTTTTGTATTTTTGTATGTGTGTAAATGTAGGCAGTAATGTTGGGGGTGCAGGTGGTTGAGATCTTGGGTGGTTACAAAAGGATAGGTGTGTCCTAACGTATACATTAAGGTAGAAGTTGGAGTTGGCCCTATAAGGTCATCGGTCTGACTGAGCAGTCCCTGACTCACTCTAGCACCAAATGTTTAATGGATTAATGCAAAATTCTCCTCCCTGGCAGCATGCTATACACATGAATTTGGACACCTACCTCACTACACACTACAAAGACAGGTGAAAAGAAAGTTCTGAGTATGTGTGAATCTGTCAGCTAGTGAGGGAAAGCAATTCAGTGCCAATGCTTAATGTTAAGCCAGCAGCCTCCTTTTTCATATACAAGAAAAATAGTTCATTTGAAATGTTTAATATAGTGAGCAATCACCTAATCTTTCAATAATCCATCTGCCCTACCTAAGCTATGTGTGTGTGTATATATTCATATACTATATATATATCAGGCCAGTAATATTCTACACACTCCAGACAGACTCCCTCAAAAAGTTATTTTTTTCTCTCATTATAAGTCACTCTCTTAGAATAATTATTTTGCATGAACTCTGTTTCTCTTTAGGCTGAGGACCTGATTCAGCTCCAGAATTCCTAATGTAGATCCAGGCTATAAATAAGTCACAAGAAATGCAATTTGAGAATTCTGTGGTTGGGTAATGTTCAATCACATTTGAGTTTAATAGTAATGAGAAAAATGTATTACAGAGCCACAGATATTTGTAGGAAGGAGGAATTAGGAAAACATTCATCTGGGAAGTCTCTAAAGTGAAGCTGTCCTTGAACAAAGCAAAACAGAACACAACACAACAAAGAGAAAAGGGAGTTCAAGAGTGTGTTGGAAACTGTCCTGAAACAAAAATATTTGACTGTAAGATTGACTTTTTAGAAAACTAAAAGTGCTATGACTTTGGCTCATGTAAGAAGTTGTTTTAAAGTGATATTAATTCACCCATGGAGGTAAAATGATGATAGAAGAGCCTGTTATTGATGCCTACTATGCTTTGGGATTGATGGTGAACTGAATGTAATGAGCCGTTCAAATTCACGTGCCACATTTAAATGGTAAAGATGGGAGTTCGCCCATGCTTTCTCATTCCTTGGCTACACTCATCTGCACCGTGCTGGCAGAGATGCTCAAATATTTGTAAATATTATAGGTACTATCAGAAATCACATTTCTGAGGCAGCATAAAAAATGACAATAGTAAGTCATCTCTTGCAGTTATTTCTACTATTATAGACCAGGTACGAATGTGGAATAGTGTCTGCACTATTAGTACAAGTTCCTCTGCATGTCCTGATATCTTTGGTCCCTTCCTAATTCCCTTCTACCCCATTTACCTCCACGGCCCAACCCATAATCGGCTGTGTGCGCACTGACTCATGGTGGAGAGTCATGGCTGCAGCCGCACTTTCGTTACCAAAATTGGAATTTGAAGCCTCAAACCCAAGCCATCTGGAAGGTGACAGTTAAGGTCACAATTATAACTGAAAATTGGCAAAAAAGAGGAGGATGAGGGAAGACAGGGACATTAAAGATTTCAAAATATTCTAGCTGCTCCACCAGTGGAGACTGCATGTCAGTGAGTTGGTGTTTTTTTGGACGACAGGCCTATGTAGATGTGTTGTCCTCTGAACCATGGACTGCTGGATCCGTGAGAGCTGTCATTTACATTGCATTGACATTTCACCACAAGGCAAACTTAGATTTTCCAAAAGAAAGCATCCATAAACATTTGTCCAATTTTAAATTACAGGCCAAATTGGACAGGGTAACTAAATCCATGTCCTCTTATTACTGTGATTCCGAGGCCATATTACAAGGCCCTGCCCTTCCCACACCCAAGATAGACACAGGCCTGGCTCATCATGCTCCCCCGCAGCTCTGCGCAGTAGGCATCAGAACGACTGGTTGGCGGACTCGAGACTTGCAGGGTCTGGGGCTTCCAACGTGGGAAGCACCCCGTGCAAGCCCACTGAATTGGAATCTTTTCAGACATGTCATTAAGTCACTTATATAAAAGTTATGCTTTTTCTTTATAAACCACCACACCATTCACTATTAGCTGTTGCTAGTGTAGTGAAAAAGCAAAATTCAGAATAAATTTATTTTGTACACAAACATGAAGCAGGTACCATTTGAAACCTGGTTAAGCCTCCATTCCTGGAAGGACTCCCCGCTGGGGTGTGGCTCACACGGCTGCACCAGGGCCTTGGCTGCCACAGAGGTTCTCAAGCTGTGCTGAGTATCAGCCTTGCCTGCAGCGCTGGCTGAAACGTAGATCACTGGGACCTTCTTGGGTCCAGAAACTAGCGCTTTTATCTAGTCCCCAGGTGATGCTGACACTGCTGCTCTAGAGACAACAACCCCGGTATCCTTTGTATGGCAGAGTTTATAGTTTGCTGTGTGCCAGTACAGAATTCTATTCGCAAATTAATGACCTTCTTTTGAGGGGTTCATGTTTCATTTTGAGTCCAAAGTCAGGAAAAAAACCAATATCTCAGCTCAAGGCAGTCCAACAGCAGGAATCTCCCCTTCCTCACAGGAGGGTCCTCAGCCTTTTTGTTCTGTTCAGACCTTCTAGATGAGGCCCACCCACCTGAAGGAGGGGAAACTGCTTTGCTCAGGCTGCCAGTCCAAAAGTCCTCTCACTCAGACACACCCCCCTCCCCACCCCCACCCTGCACGGACACACCCACAGCAGTGTTCAGCCAAGTATCAGGGCCCCCTGTGGACTACTGGACTGGACACATAAAACTATGACACAGAGCTTTTTAAAAAAAGTCTGCCTACAGAATTATGGCACAGAGCACATGTTTTATTCCTTAAAGGTTGCAAGACTAGATTAAATTGTACTGAAGAAACAACCACAAAAATCCTAACTGGGGAAACAACACCACAGAACCGTGAGTGAGACACCCTCTATTTTGCTCAGCAATGACTCGCCCACATTTATCACTCCACAGATCATTGGCATCAGTGTTAATATGTACAAAGTGATTCTGTACATTTCTTAGTGAGGGTATTTGACTGACTTCCAGTCTTTGATGTAATCATATATTAAGTATACCATAGACAGCTGTTATCATAAAGGGATGAATGAAAAATCAATTTAAAAAAATTTGTTTCCCAGAGAAAAAACTCCTTTGATTGAAATTTACTGAGAATTAGGTAGATTAAAATATATATATAAAAGATTTGTATTTATTTATTTATTTTTAGAGAGGGGAATGGAGGGAGAAAGAGAGGGAGAGAAATATCCATGTGTGGTTTCCTCTCTTACATCCTCTAATGGGGACCTGGCCCACAACCCAGGCAGGTGCTCTGACTGGGAATCGAACCAGTGACTCTGTGGTTTGGCACTCAATCCACCGAGCCACACCAGCCAGGGCAAGATATATATCTCTTTGTAATCATCTTTTGGTCTGTTGATAACCTAAGAGGCTGCAAATAACTCTGATTTTAGCTTTTTTTGGGGGTGGGGTGGGGGGCAAATCAATAATTTTTCATCTTGGGAAGCTCACAGCTAAGCATAGGATTTCAAGATCTCTGTAGAATTACTGAGTTGTTGGCCTTTTCACTCTAATCCAATTAAATAGAACTGATGAAATATTCATTGTGTAAATTGCATAGAAGATAAAAGAAAATCTTAAGTGGCTCAACAAAATTATTATCAATATAATTACCATTCTGTGTGAAGTCGATTTTGTCATGGTAATGATTAGAAAATATTGTGACATGAGTGTGGGTTTTCTTCTGAAGTGTATTCTTTGTTGATTTTCGGGTGATATCCATTACTTCCCCAAATAAAACAAGTTACACACTACTCACCATTCAATTGTGAGCAGATAAAAAATGGAAACTGCAAAACTTCTTGTAAAAACTGTGTAATCTTGCTGATGCCAAGTCATGGTAAAGTTGATTATAAATTTGTTTAAATGTTCAAATGTATGGTGATTCAAATTAATTATGTCATATTTTGCTGAGTATATCATGTTTAAACAATAAAGAGATTATGTAGTATATGTTTTTGTTTTATCAAAGGAATGTTATTAGCTTGTTAATACAATCCTGTGCTCATATATGACAAAATTAATTCCATTGTGTCAAGCCATGCCCGTATTCAGCTCTGCATCAGAGACAACTTTTAGTTTTCATGCCACACACAGGGTCCTATGGGTGTATCCTGGGTTAATGAACATTCCTAACATTCTTCATTATTTTTGTTTTCCACGCCTCCACCACTCAAAAAAAGTTTATCAGGAAGCATTGTGAGTCAAAGTATTGTAGGAATAATGTAACCTTGAATTTGCCTCTGCTTTATATTAAGTGTAAATCATTTGCTAAGCCTGGACATTTCAGCTGTTAGTTAAAAACGACTTGGAGCATAGCTTACAAATTTCAAAATGACTGCCCCCAAAAGTGCTACCACTGCCCCCATCCTCACAAAGCAACAACTGACAAACACCAGTCCCACTACATAGATTTCCATAGCTATGAGCCTACCGAAGCAGGAAAAGGTGACAAGAAGATGTAAACACTAGAAGAGGTAACGTATGATTTATCAGTGCTGACGACTTTAAAATGTCCAACACGGAAGAACTGCTCTTTGATGATAACACCCGTGATGAATGGGACTGTGTTTAATCTGATCATGTTCCCCCAAGTGGCCAAGTCAGAATCATAGCCTGTGCTCTATAAATTCTGGTAGCCAATTTTAACAGACTAAATATCACTGAGAAGCATTTTTGCATGTTGCTTTTCTTAAATGGTAGTTCCAGGCATAACTCTGCTTAAAAAAAATGCAGGGAACATTTTTCTTACTTTAGCATAAATGGCCTGTGCATATTTCCTTTTTATGATAAGGGGTTCTGCTTATAAAAATCAAGGTAGGTCCATAGCAGATGAACTCATTTATTTATTTTAAAAACCTCTGCCTGAGTCTATGGCTTTTAGAGGTGTATCTGGTGAATTCAATTATGTCACCAATCAGCTGGGTCTGCATACCATGGTTCAGGGAAATTCCCTGTATTCTAATGGTTGTGTTTTGGGTTCTGTGCTAGGCATTTACACTCTAGAGATGAGGAGTTTCATGGTCCCTGCTTTTAAGGAGCCAAGAGCAGGGAAAATACAGAATATCTGCTGCTATCTTTATGTCTAAATCATTTGGAAGTAAGGTTGTAGGAGACCTAGGAAGAAAGAGAGCGTGACTTAGTAACAGAAGTCCACAAGAGCTATTGTGTCCTACTCTCCATGTTTTGGTTTGTCTGGGGAGGTGGAGATGGAGATGGTGGGACAGGGTGGGGAGAGATGAGTTAGGGCTCGTGGAGGGAAAGCTGGGCAAACAACAGTGTACTGAATTTGGAAAAATCTGTGAGCCTACTTGGCAGGGTGTTTGATTGCAGTAAAACCTAAGTACAATGAAAATAAGGACTCCTATTTGTAGTCAAGGTATGTTCAGGACCCAAGGCCTAAATGACATGGATAAGTAACATTTAAAAAGAAATATTGTAAAGATTCTCTTTCTTTTTCTATTTTTAAGGACAAAGGAGAAGAACAAAATGGAAAGTACGCTATTCTGGATGATATTTTTCACCCTTGGGTGGACCCTCATTGATGGGTCAGAGATGGAACAGGATTTCATGTGGCATTTGAGAAAAGTACCCCGGGTTGTCAGTGAGAGAACTTTCCCTCTCACTAGCCCCACATTTGAGGCAGATGCTAAGGTGATGTTAAGGAAAGTGTGTGGCATCGAATGTCAGAAAGAACTCCCAGCCCCCAGCCTTTCAGACTTGGAAGATTCCCTTTCCTATGAGACTATCTTTGAGAATGGCACCCGAACCTTGACCAGAGTGAAAGTTCAAGGTCTGGTCCTTGAGCCAACTCAAAATATCTCCAGCAAAGGAGCACCTGTTAGGAGAAAGAGACAGGTGTATGGCACAGACAGCAGATTCAGCATCTTGGACAAAAGATTCTTAACCAATTTCCCTTTCAATACAGCGGTGAAGCTCTCCACCGGCTGCAGTGGTGTTCTCATTTCTCCCCGTCACGTTCTAACAGCTGCCCACTGTGTGCACGATGGGAAGGACTATATCAAAGGGAGCAAAAAGCTTAGGGTAGGGCTGTTGAAGATGAGAAATAAAGGAGGTGGCAAGAAACGAAGGGGTTCTAAGAGGAGCAGGAGAGAAGTTGCTGGTGGTGACCCAAGAGAGGGTAGCAAAGATAATCTGAAGGAGACAGCCAAGGCTGGAAGAAGAAGAAGAAGAAAGGAATCTGCTCCGGGCCAGAGAGTCGCTGAGGGCAGGCCCACCTTCCAGTGGACCAGGGTCAAGAATACACACATTCCCAAAGGCTGGGCTACAGGAGAAAGTGGAGATGCCGCCCTGGATTATGACTACGCTCTTCTGGAACTGAAGCGCGCTCACAAAAAGAAATACATGGAACTAGGAGTCAGTCCCACCATCAAGAAGCTGCCGGGTGGAATGATCCACTTCTCAGGATTTGATCACGATAGAGCAGATCAATTGGTGTACCGGTTTTGTAGTGTGTCCGATGAATCCAATGATCTCCTCTATCAATACTGCGATGCGGAGTCGGGCTCCACTGGCTCCGGGGTCTATCTGCGTCTCAAAGAGCCAGACAAAAAACACTGGAAGCGCAAAATCATTGCGGTCTATTCAGGCCACCAGTGGGTGGATGTCCATGGTGCTCAGAAGGACTACAACGTGGCCGTGCGTATCACTCCCCTCAAGTATGCCCAGATTTGCCTCTGGATTCACGGAGATGACGCCAACTGTACTTACGGATAACAGGAACCTGAAACCAGGCCATGGATGAGCGAAATCGCAGAGAGAAAACCAGTTCTGATTATTGTAGTGAGATCACTTCACAGGTTATGCCTGGACTTGAATTTAATTAATAGCATTTCAACATTTTTATAAATGTACTTGTTCAAAATTAGGAGATTTTCTTACATTTGAAAAATTTAGGTAAAGATACTGAAACTAGATGGGCATTTCAATGCCAAGTATATATATATATATATATATTCTTCTTTACACAATGGTAAGTTTGGTTCGTGGAAAAAATGTTTCTGTTTTCTTAAAAATTAGACACTCTTTAAAACTTCAAGCTGGTACTATAAATAATGTGATTTCTCAATGGACTTATTCTCAGGGTCCTACCGTTAGAAGAATCTAATAGGATGCCAGTTGCATACTAAATGTGAAACTGCATATACAGAGGTAGACAGTAATATTCAGAATTAAGTTAGAGACAAAAATTTACGACAGTTAGTACCTCCCTGAGATGGGCCCACTCAGTCCATGCCCTCAGCGTTTATATTGTTTCCTCTTGGGGCTGTGAAACATCAGGTTTTTGTTTTTTGTTTTTAAAAGAATGATAAGGAATAACTTTACGAACAAAACTGTCAATTATTTTCCTGCTTTGAAAAATATAAACTGAACTGTATACTATTTGAAACGGGAGAGATACTTTGTTCCATGAAATAAGTCTAGTTTAAAAGTAGGGAAGCTGAGACTTTTTAAGATCTCAAGTTTTGATTTAACTAGTGTTTAAACCATGAACTTTCCATGCATGTTTAGGGAAGGCAGCTCAACAGTTAAAAATGATCATGAATTGAAAGGCTCATCATTTTATGCTACATGGTCTCCTATGTATGAGGTATTGTATTTTTAGGACAAGCAATTATAGTCTTTTTAGGGCCTTTATTCCCCCTTGACAAAATCCAGCTTTCTTCATAGGGTCATAGGCATATTATTTTGGCGAATTCTCTAATTAGTAATTTTAAATAAATGCCTTAAAATGAATATAATTTAAGATAGTTTTTAAAAGAAGATTCTGATTATTTTCATTAGGGACCAAGGCTGCCCACTCACTCCGGCCGTCACGGAGCCTAAGCGGACAGAGAGAGTCCAGTGGCTGCCTTGGGGCACTGGATGCTGTTGCCTGAATGAACCTGTAGGTGTTAGTTAGCTGAATGGCTGTAAAAGGGCATTCGTTCAAGCCTGTATTTTTAAAGGGTTTCAGTGATTTGTAGTTGAGTAACCCATAACATTGAGGAACTGCGTGGCCTGCTCTTCCTGGTGGTTTCTAGCCCACACATTCTCTTCTGCCAGGACATATCCAAGTCGCTGGTTGGGCTGGAGTTCAAATTTATTTTGTTAGTGTAATTGTTTTTACAAACGGAAAGTTAAATCCTTGATGAGTATGCAAAGGGATATTTGATCAGCTTATGATAAAATGATTTTGTAAATGGTGTCCAAAATAGCTGAAATTCAATACAAGTGTACATTCTTTATCATGTGAATTGGTTAAAAATCATTCAATAAAAATTTAAAAAATAAATCAGTTATAACTGTATATATGTTTTATGTGTAGGGTTTCAGCAATTATTAAATTAATGGTCATTTATTTCAAAATGATTCTATTTGATTCTAAACACATGCCATTAAGCAGTATTTTATCATTGGTGCTATGGAATAGGGCTACTGACTCAAAGGTTTGTTCAGATCTTTTTTTTTTAAATCATCTACATGATCACTGCAACTAAAGATGTTTCAAGGTGAATTTTGCACACTTGCTGCAAACACACACCAAACTTCATCTCACAATCTTAGAAAATAATTCCTGGGATTTAGAGTGTCAATAGTTTGGTATGTAAGGTTAAATTCTGAATATACATAATTTCCTTAAAATTATTGTACTTTTAAAAAATATAACATTTCACTCATTTTCTTTGAAGAGGTTTATTTAATTCCTTTTCTCTTTTCTAACTGAATTATGAATCTTATATGACCTACTTAGGACTACTAAAGTATGTACTGCATTCCTTAGAAAGTTATATTTTATATACTTTTTCTGTTATAATTAATCAGTTTGAAATAGAAAGTTAATTTGAATTCACTTAGCTAAACAAATATACTCACAGACATATGACACCTACTTTGTGCTAGGGACTACACTGACTTACTATGTAGAGAAACTTACCCAATTTTTGAATTGAAATAACTATTTATAAAACAATTGAAATTAAAAATTGTAGACTTTTCTTTACTCAAATAACATATTTTATTCTATTTATCTTTTAAAAATATTTATTTATTGATTTCAGGGAGGGGGGTAAGAGAGAAACAGCAATCTGTGGTTCCACCTATTTATGCATTTATTGTTATTTTTTTAGTTTTATTTTTTTATGTTCCCAGATTGGGGATTGCACCTGCAACCCTGGCATGGTAGGATGATGCTCCAATCAACTGAGTTACCTGGCCAGGACTATGTTTTTTCATGCTCCAATTGATACATGTGTGGGCAGAATAAGACTTTTTTTTCTTTCTAACATACTTCTTAGTTAAATCCCAAATGTTCATTTTTAAAAAGAGATGAGCTTATGTATGATCAAGATCAGACTTCTGGATAAATCATTACCTCTTTTATTTGTAGATCAAAGAATTCTTTGAAATTCTTATTTCATAGAAAGAATGTCAGGGTTAGAAGAAACCATAAAGGTTACCTAGTTTATCTTTACATTTTAGATTTTAATTTCCCTCCATACTATTTTCTTTAAGTAGTTTGTCCAGTGATAAAAAAACCTAAATATTATTTAGGTATAAAAATAAATTCAGGAATGTAACATTGTTTAAAATTTTTAGTTCAATTTTCTACAAATTGTAAAAATTATATTGTTTCTCTTGATTTTATACCAATGTTGACCATTTCAATTACAATATTTATAATTCTTTGGTCTTATGTTGTAAATCAGGTATTTACTCTCTTAAAAATGAATTATGATAATAAATTAAGAATGTTAAGAGATAAGGCAATTGAACTAAGTACTGGGCATTGTAAGGATATGAATCTATAGCTATAAATAATCCAGAAATAGCATCATTATTCTTAAAATGGTTTCCTCATAACAATTATATTTTGGTTACTGATTTTAAAAAGCCTAACAAATACTTTTTATAAATTCTGCTTTATATAACATCTCCAGTTAATTAACAGCAGAATCTTTTTAATAAGCTGATTTTTCTAGCTCAAACTGCTCTTTCTTCAATGGCCAAGTTATAAGGTTTAGAAATATTTAGGAGATTAAGTCTAATCGATGGTGAAATCACATTCTCATCAGATGGGTTCACTGTATAGAATTTAGTTTTTTCTCGGTTTATCATTCAACAAAGGGGAGAAAACACCCTCAGATGGGCTTCTTTTCTACTTATACACAAAATCTAGGAAGAAAATTCCCTGTCTTCTCCTTTCTGCAACAATAAGTAGCAGTTTCTTCCATATAGTGAAACAGTCTAGAGCATCGCAGTCAAAATGTTGGTAACTTGTGATCCCAGTCAGGGCTGGTACACTTCACCCACACGTGAGGTGCTGTCTTAATCTGCTTGGCTGCCATAACAAAATACCGTGGAGTGGTGGCTTAAACAATAGAAATGGATTTATCACAATTTTGAAGACTGAGAATTTTGGCAAGGGAGGTTTCATTCAGGAACCTCTTTTCGTTGTAGGCACCCACCTGGCTTGTGAGTCCTGGTGTTTCTTCCTAAGGGGGACTAATCCCATCACGAGGACCTCACCCTCATGACCTCATTTAACCCCAATTACTTCATTAAGGCCCCATCTTTGGGGGTTGGGCTTCAACATATGAATTGCAGGGAGCAGGGAGAACACAAACATTTAGCCCATAATAGGTTCCATTCTAAACCCACAAGTTGCATCTTGGGTCAGGCTGAGGGAACTCACAAAGATCCTAGTCACAAAGGTAAAGAGGTATGAATGGCAGCTTAGGCCAACCAATCACCATCTCCCGACGTTCATTATGGTAATCTCAAGTGTTCATACGTGGCACAGAGGAGGTGATCAATACATGCTTAAAATATCAAGTATTCATTGAGGGCAGTACTTATTCACTGGTACATGATAAGGCTTCAAAAAGGCTAGAGATGTTATTTTAAGTGCATATTGTATTATAGGTATAGATACATGTTTAAATAGTGGAAATATCATAATTAGAATTTTAATATCAGAATGTTGTGGCACTTAAGAAATCAGATATTTGCCATATTCCCTACTGACTTATTTGAGTTTATGATAAAAATGGCTTCAAACTGACAAGTCCAGGCTCCTGCAGTTACTCCTCATCCCTCTGTTCCCCCCAGGAAACATTAAAAAAGAAAATCTCTGTCTCAGAACTTGCTGCCAAAATATTTTTATTTTGGAAATATTTTTAAATTTCCAATAATATCTTAAGATCTATTCACTTTTTTCAAGCACTGGGAACAAGTCAGCTACTTAGAATACCTACTTCAATTCACAATGCAATCAATATGTGAATATATGATCTGTTTTTGCCTTCCAGTGTGGTTTTACCAAACTTTGTCTATATGAACATATTCCTATATATACTTATAAGTGTTTTACTAAGACTCAAACTTGGATTATGTTATTATATTTTTTTCTGTATATATTCATATCCTGAAAAGTGTGTTCACTTTCACACATGTGAAGGGAAATACCTTGGAATCTGTTCATACAACTGAATACAGATGATTTTGAAAAGTTCCTCTAGGCTTTTGCTTAGCCTAGTCACTACTCATTTCCTTACTGTTCTCTGAATTTTACATTTAATTTCATCAATAGTTTATAATATACCATACAATTAATATCTCACTTATGTAGAATTTTTTTTTGGCTGGTAATTTCAAGTATCCCAAATGTCAGAAAAAATATTCTTCTCTGATAACCAAAATGAATGACACAGACTTTTACTCTAGAGATAATCTTAACAAGTTTGGAAATCTGATTTCCCAAACTAAAAGTAGAAGGCAGCTGCCAAGGCAAGTCTAGGACAGTTCCCATGAAGTGACAGCCTAGCAACAGACATACCAAAGAACTTTTAAAAAGGTACAAAGACTATGAAATTACAGTAGTTTAGAGCTACGCAGTTTGGATGCAAGTGACTGCATGAAAGCATGACAATATACAGTGTGTTTACAATGACTGTGTAATCAATATAACATTTAGGTATGTTCAGTATGAGTTTTGTAGGCATTACCTTATACAGAAATTTTCATCAAATAATCTCAACCTATTTTTTAAGAGTATTGTTTTAAAAAGCTAAATGGTAAAAATAATTTTTTAAAAATTGAAAGAATAGAAATATTGCTGGTCTATAGAGTTGGCTGTTTTAATACTAAAATACAATTCTCATCTCAAAAGTCAAGAAAAAATTCTTTCCCCAGTATTTTAGTAAATCCCACAAATCCTAAACTGTTAAAATATTTGTCTATTTTAAATGTTAATATGTGTTATTGAAAGTTTAGAATATGTCATACAGCTGTACCCAGTTTATGCATGGAGTTGGTAGGCCAACTCTATGTGTAATGGGAAAAATCAGAAAAAATACCTTTAATTGGAAAAAATAGCCTAGTGGACTTCCCTGTATAAAGTAAATGTTCACCAAATATACTATCCTGACTTACAATTAGTATTATAAGATTATAGAAATTACTTAATATAATTGAAAGGAAGAAAGAAGAGAATATCCTAAGAGCAGAGACCAGCAGTCATCCCAGAAGAACTACTGTGAGTGTGTGTGAGTGTGTGTGAGTGTGGTGCTGGTGGGTGTGTTGGGAGGATTGGGGTGAAACAGCTCTTGTTCTCTGAAAAGAGCCATCTTCCCCTCCCCATCAGCTACTGAGTGTAGCTAACAAACGATGCAATATTTTTCTAAGAACTGCCTATTGAAGTTCATCTTTTCTCAGCTAGCTAAGGAATTCAGGAATTTACCAAGAACAATCTATAGAGTATGAAGGCTTCTGGAAGATAAGGAGAAGCCCCTTCCTGTTCCACACACCCTCCCCATCATTCATAGGAGTCAAAACTTTGCAATTTCGTTTTAATTAGAATTTAAACTAGTACTACTGGCCCAGATACCAGATCACAAAACACCACAAACCTCAGGGTATAGAAAGAAAGAACTTGATAATACACAGTAGACTTCTGGGAGGACGTGTGATATTTTTTTTTGTCTCAAAACTACTTTAAATGGATCAATTGTTAGAAAAATTTGCAGCCAACAACTTAGAAGATACAACCTTTAAATTAAAAAAAAAATTTCCTTTGCAAAACCCACAAAAGTGTTTTTCTTTTAAAAATTAAGAGCTTGGTGCTAAGATTCTACTTCCAAACCAAAGTACCACTTTATCAAGCAATTGCCTAAAAATAAAAGTGTGTTATTTCTGAGACAACTGAATTTAGTATTTGGCCACTGTACTTGAAACGTTTACTGTAAAAGGCTTTCTTTGTGGCCTGAGAAAGCGAGCCATGTCGCAGCACTCAGC